CCTCATACTGCCAGATCTTTGATAACATTTACATTACTTTTCTACCATGGCCCATATATCACTTATGATTTTTATTTTTGACTTCTTTTTGCCTTGATTCTTCGGTCTGGATAACTCTTCTGATTTATATTCCAGTTCACAAATTCCGTCTTTGGTTGTTAAACTCATCTCACGCACTCTTAAACTTACTTAATGTATTTTTTAGTTCCGTGATTTCCTTTGCTTCCTTTTTTAGAGGTTCCAGTTCTACATCAAAATGACTGATCTTGTCTTTTAATTCTTTCAAGACATTGATCATATTATTAAAACATCTCTCCATTATCTGGATCTCCCGAGGATCTGATTTTTGTTTCTGTTTCCCCTTTATTTTTGGTCACAAAACCTTTCAAATGCCTGGTTATTTTTGATTGAGTGTTGAACATTTTTTTTTAAAGATTTGTTTATTTATTTGAGAGAAAGAGAGAGAGAGGGAAGGAGAGGGAGAGAGAATTTGAAGCAGACTCCATGCTGAGTGCAGAGTTTGATGTGGGGCTTGATTCCACAACTGTGAGATCATGACATGAGCTGAAACCAAGAGTCAGATGTTTAACCAACTGAGCCACTCAGGCGCCCCAGTGTTGGACATTGTTAAATAAAAAATTCTTGAGTTCACATGCAGTTTTTCTGAAAGATGTTATCTTCCTTCAGAAAGGCATTAATTTCATTTTTGGCAAGCAGCCATCCCAGAGGAACACACCTTACATGATTATGGTTTGATGTGACTTGAAGCTGACTTTAGTTTCTCCTGGGCAGGACTGCTGTCCAGTCAACACTGCCCCTTAAGGCAGAGCCTGTCCAAATCCCAGCCCCAAACTCAGGAGTATTAGAATCTGTCCTCCTCAGCAGCCCTTGAATTCTAACACTTGTCCCCTAGCCTTATGGGAGTGTTGTAAACTCTATTCAACTTCTCAGCCTTTCGATTGTTGCTTTTGGAATTGGCAATCACCTTTAGGGGAAATGAGGTATCAGATGCTCAGTTCCCATATCATGGGTTTCTTTTTCTCCCAGATTTGGCTCCACACAGTCTCACTGTTTTGTTAACTTCAAGCAGGTATTTTAAAATTTTTGTCCCTATTTTCTTGTATTTTAAGTAAGAGGATTGGTTCAAAGACCTTAGCCTGCTGGAAGGAGCACTCCACCGTTCTAAATTATATACATGAAAAACTGGAAGCAACTTAACCCCAATAAAAGAGGCATTATAGTATATCCATGAGAGTGGAATAATATGCTGTCATTAAAAATGTTAAATATTTTATCATTATGATAGAATACGAACAATGATATTTTGAAGGAAAATCAGAATATGCTTTTTAAACATTATCCCAGTTTTGTAAAAACAACAAAATATCTGTATGAGCATAGATAAATGACTAGAAAGAAATATAGTAAAATATGCCCTGAGGATATTACCTCTAACTAAGCCAAAACATTAGGGAAAGTACTTAAATTTGCTTCAGGCATGTAGAATTTGCTAGATTATTTCTTCAGTACACAACCCCCCCCAACATGTATTCCAGCAGCAGCTGTGTCCTCAGGGAGTCCAATACTACTTGGTAAGTGTCCTTGGTCATTTCATACTAATAAGCTTTGTTTCCTTGATTATCTGTCTGAATTTGGGGTGGTAGGGGGCTGGCTTTATCTCTTGGATGTTTCATTTGCAGCCTAGGTATCTTATCCCACTTTTGTCTCATCAGTACATCTTGATGAACATTTATTGACTAGCCATTGTATGCTTATCACCACACTCATTGTACTAGATTATGAAGCACCCATGCTGGAAGGGAGCTTGGAGATCCTTTAACTAAGTTAAACATTATGCAGAACACACACACACACACACACACACACACACACACACACACACACACAATCAACTGGGCTGCTCTCCATGAAGAGTGGCTGTGTGTCTGAGGGGGGGACTTCCACCCACACTTGTGGTCTTCGATCTGCCCCACCATGTAGCTGCTGGGGCAGATTTGGGGACCCTACTGTTATGTATACAACACAGGTGCTTCTAGGCCCCTTGCTGGATAAGTAGGACCCTCACTCCCCGACCAGCCAGGCGAGGTCCCTGCATTCTCTCTTCAATGCAGCACACTTCTGTTCTATCATGTGTCTCACAAGGGCGTCCGTGACTTATCTGCTTAATGTTTGGAGCTCCCAGCAGGGTGTAAGCAACATCAGGGCAGGGACCCTGTTCATGCTGCTCACTATAGCATCCAAGGGCCATGCCCTCCCTGTGTGATGCTGGCGACTTACTAGCCTCTCTGTATCTGTTTCCTCACTTGTAAGATGGGGGTGCATTAATAGCGGTACTTCGTAGGGGCCTCACTAAAAGGAAAGAGTCACCATATGCAAATGCTTAGAATGGCCGCCAGTGTACAGTAAGCGCTCCCTACCGGTCACCTGGTGGTGCTATTATGGTCATTGTTAAGGGCAGGGTCTCTTGCCTTCTGCAGCCAGGCCTGTCACTTCTCATAAAACCTCTGGCTTTTGATTCTAAGCACTTCAGTGCCCTGACAAGAAAATGCACCCCCTCCCCTGCAGTGGGTCCCAGCACCCTTTCTTTCCTCAGCGGGCAGACCCTGCCTCCGATGCTGACTCACTTCCCCCTTCTCGCCTCTGCTCACTGTCAGCGAGGCTGGTCACTAGGTTTCTCCATCGGTTTCCGGGGTGTTGGTCCAGAAGGAAAGCAGGGTTTCCTGTTCACTTCCTGCTGTGCCTCAGCAGGCTGAGCCACTGCGCCCGAGGCCTTGTGAAACCCCAGTGGACAGCAATACCCAACAACGCAGAGTATGCCCAGAAGTCCACAGTGTCCAAGTCACCTGCCCTGGGCATGAAACACTGAAAGAAAGAGCATTGCCCTGGTGGGTCAAGCCAAACCCAGTTGCTGTTATGGCCCTGGGGCTGGAAAGCCTGAGCCTGCTTTGCAGCTGCTTGGCTGATGGTAAGCTTTCACAATGCAGTGCAAAAGCCATTTAGCACCTTTAAAGAAATTAGAAATGGGTTTTTCACGTGTGGCGGTGCTGAAAATTGCGAATAATGATAGAATTATTAAGAACAGCCTTCCTGGCCTTATGCTTTTAATTGCCTCTGGTCTGTAAAGCTGACAAATGTGAAACAGTTTTGGGAGCCTGGTAGAATGGCTCGTGGTTCTTTTGTTTACTGCCGTGAGGACTGCTGTTTGGGTGGAGAGGTGCTGTGGGAAGGAGAGTGGTGAGCTGGGAGCCATGGGCCTGGGTTCCCACCTGGTTGTGCTCTCAGTGGGGCCTGAGGCTCTCATCCCACTAAGGAAGCAGTCTGAACCGATGAGGGCAAACGGGGTATGTGGAGTGACGATCTTCCAGAGCCCCGCGGTGGCTTGCAGGCAGCCAGCTTGGGTACAGGCTGAGCTAAGCTAAGTAGGCTTCTTGCTGCAGGACTTCCCAGAGCCTTCAGTAGAGTTGTAATGACGGGTAACATTTAGTAAGCACTCGCCCTGAGCCACCCCAGGGCTGGAGGCTTTGCGTGTGACCTCACTTGTCTTCATCAGCAGGCACAGAGGAGTAGCTGGGGCGGAGCGATCACAGATAATTGCTCTTCCGTTCACAGGGCCTGTGAGCAGAAGCACCAGTCTTCAGCTCGGGTCTGACCACAGAAGCTGTGCTGCCTCTCTGTCCTGTCCAGAGAGGCCTGTGTGCAACCTTGAAACCATGTAGTCCAGAGCTCCCATTTTCCAGATCAGAAGATGGAGGCTTCTCTAGCTCTGTGAATGGGAGAGGGCAGGACTCCTCTCCTCTGTCCTCCACTCCCCCACGGCCCTCCCTCCAGTGCACTGGGGGTGGGGTTCCTGGGGCAGGGGTGTGCATTCACCCAACTCTCCCACCAGCTGTAAATAATGCCCCTTACTCAGAGGTTTGACATTTTAATAGAATTAGTATATGTAAAACGCAGAAAAGTCATGGGACCGGGGCCAGGTGATTTCCCCCACCCACCTAGAGTCTGCCCTACTCAAGGGATGGGTCAGCCAGGCTCCTGGCTCTTGCCAGGAGAGAAAGTTGGCAATGAATTCCTCCCTGAAGGAAACAAGCGCATCCGTGAGACTGGAACCCCTTTTCTCGGATGCATTTTCCTGAGTGGCCAGCAGATGGCAGGAGCAAGCTAGGGACGGAGCCTGTGGCCCACCCGTGGGCGGGTAGCCTTGGCCGCTGAAAATCCCGTGGTGCTCGGTGGTTGTATGAAGAGATCTCCAGTGTGAGAGCCCTCCTTTATTCTGAGCAGGATTCTAAACAAACGGGGCACTGGCCTTGTGGCTGGCACGCAGGGAGGACCCAGGGGCTCCCGTTTGCTCCCAGCGGGCACTGATGCCCTCCCGTTCCCACGTGTCAGCCTCTTGCAGAGGATCGGCCACTTCTCTCTGCTCCCTGGCCGCAGAGACGTTGCTGGTGCACCAAGGCCTGGGGATGGAAGTGGTGGCCGCGTGTCCCTGTCATTAGATTGGGGGTTGTCGACCACCACGGAACTCCGCAGGGCCGGTTCTGGTGGGCGTGATTCCTCAGTCAGTCATTTCATGAGTATTTATGGAGCCCCGACTGTGTGCCTGGCCCCCGTCCAGGGTTCTGGCTGGCAGTGAGAAGCTCGCACTAGATCCATGACTAACAGGGAGCTCACGTTCCAGCGGGAGAGACAGAAAATAACTGGGAAGGAGTTAGGATAAAGTGGGATTGAGCCGGGTATGAGAAAGGTAAGCAGACAGGAGAACAGGAAGCGAGGGGCAGTGGGGTCCGAGCGACGAGGTTAGGAGGGTGGTCAGGGAAGGCCTGGCGGGGGCAGTCCAGATGGGGGTGACAGGGCAAACCCTGGGGGTGGGATGGGCTTCCCACGTGTCAGAACTAGAAAGGAGGCCGGCGTGGCTGAGCTGAATACATGAGGGGGAGGGGCGGGCAGGGGGTGGCAGGGGTCTGGTCCCCTGTACACAGGGTCAGGGGTCAGGATTCTGCTCCGTAGAGAATGTGGAACTGCCCAAATGGCCAAACGCAGCAATTTCACATGGTTCAACCTGACCACTTAGCGAGGTCACTGGGGTTTGGTTCTTGAGCTTCACAGACCCTGGGATTCCGGAAGCCCCTCCCTCCAGGTGGATCAGGTTGCCCAGTGCAGCTGCAAAGGTCCCCAAGCCCACTGTCTCCCGGACATCGTTTCTCCTGCAGGCGTGGGCTCTCGTGGGTAGCTGCCCGCCTCTCCTGCATATCTGGCTCCCTGCCCGGCCCCCCAGCCCCCCAGGCCTAGCCAGGCCCTTTGCCGTTTCCTGGGGCCTTTCGGGGAAGCTCAGGCCAGATAGAGCCTGCGACAAGCCTCCCTCCCCGCATCTCCAGCAGGTTGTGGTCCCCGTGGGGCGTGCTCGAAAGCCGAGATGAGATGTGCTCTTCACATCTGACAAAAGAGTTAAACTGACAATTCCTCGCAGACTCAGGTTCAAATCCTTATTAAGCTGTTAAGTGAGGGGGGATTTCATATCCTTCCAGAGGCTCTCCTTCTGCCACCAAGTGGCTGTGTGGGGGGGCTTTGTTCCTCGGCCTTTCCTTCGCTATCTGGTCCTCCTGTGTCACCTGACATGAGGGGGGAGCCACCAGAGGCCCCCCCTACAGCCTCTGGGGAAGCAGGAGCCCACGCAGCAGGAGCTGAGGGCCGGGAGAGGCAGACTGAGAACCAGGGGAGGGCAGCGTGGGGACCTGGAAATGAGACCAGCACAGAGCAATGAGTGGTCCTCAGGAAATGTAATGGGACACATTCCCGAGCTGTAAAGAAGATGTTTGTGACACATGCTCAGCTGCGACAAGTTGCCACACACATGGGGGCCTGTGGATGAGGAGCCCCGGGAGGCACGGGTGTTAAAACGTGAGGCCGCCACACAGAAAGTTTGCTATTTGCTCCTGCCAGGGGCTGAGGGCTCTCCCCACCTGAATCCAACTCAGACCCCGTTTGAACCTCTTCTTCTGTGGGCCGTGCTCCCCACAGTGCAGAAGGGAGCCGGCGTTCAGATCCGATTCTATGAAGGTCTGCAGATAGACACCCCCCCGTTGTAAGTTCATTGGGTGTGGGCTAATCAGAAAGTAGGGATCTCCCATGCCCGCCCTACACAAACATCCTCAGTGTTTTGCTCTTAGGTGGTTAAGAATGGTTTAGTGTTGTTTGGAACATTGGTCTGGGGGGTTTTGGATGGTCTGCGAATGTGCTCTCTCTTCTTTCCCCTTCCCCTAATGGGATATGAGCTTCTGATGCCTGCAGATTTACTCTCCAAAGTGTTTCCAGGAATTGATGATGTATGGACAATGTGGTGTACCTGCATCTTACTGGCTCTCACCTGCTGGGTGTCATTCTCATGTGAGTGGGCCAGGTCAAGCCAGGAGAAAGCAGGTGCCGCTTGGCACCTGACATGATAAATCCCTGCCTTCTTTTGTGATTAACGGGAAAAAAAAAAAACCCACAAATGCCCCCAAAGAACCCTGCTGGCTGTGGCTTTTGGAAACCCTCTCTTAGGGACCCCCCTGCGACCTGTCGGGCAGGAGCCCTGGGAGGCCATGGGCGGGCACTTTGCAGCCAGGCTGCAGCAGGAGGCTGGTCATGACCGAGGACACCACGGAGCCGGCATGCAGAGCTCGGCCCCTCACAGCGCCTGTCGTGGGTGAGCAGCCCTTGTCATGGATCAGAGCCACAACCGACTGATCTTCTCGAGGCTGGCCCTCTCAGCCAGAGGCCTGGTGTGTCTGCTGTGCCGCAGTGCTGCCTGGCCCGCCTGGGAGCCGGCTGCAGACTTTCCTGCAGCAAACTGGTGCTTGCCTGTCCATCACGGCGAGCCATGCCTGCCTGCGGTGCCTGGCAGCTGAAAGACCCCTGGATTCTGGCAGAGTATGTTCATGGCCTGAAAGCTCATCTTGTAGTCCCTCTACCCTGAGATGCAGCTTCTGTGCTAGTGGGATTCATGCTCAGCTCCTTCCTCCTCGGGCCTCCCTGGGCCTGCATCACCATCGTCTGCCAGGGACAGCCACTCGGTGAGATTCTTAATTAAAACCGTGGCACTTGGGGGCAGGAAAGAAGTTAAAAACTCTGAAGTCACTTTCCCTAATAGAAATCTTATTTTGGAGGTGCTCACAGAGGTCAGGCCGACCAGGAAAACCCGCACGCCTCAAATGAGCTCAAACAGATTTACTGAATTTACTCAGCTGGGTGCCCGGAGGCAGAGCAGGGACGCAGCGGCGGCAGGGGGGCACCCTCACCTGTAGCCCCAGATTCATTCCTGCGGCAGGGAGATGGGAGGAGAGGCCCAGATTTTCTTGGAAGACTGGAGAATTGCTGAGTAGCTGTCTTGGAACTTGCTGACCCAGGCGTCTGTGAGCTCAGCCTGTCGGCTGTCCCTGCATCCAGCTCTCTAGAGTTTGATGACTACTGTCCCCTGGAAATTCACTTCAACGTGGTGGCAGTGACTGGGGAATGGCTATATCTGGAATCCATTAGTCACAAAGAGAACTCCCCCTTTTCCATGTTTTCTGGCCCAAGCAGCTGCTCTGAAAGCTGACGGCTCTATGGATCTCGCAGCATCTCGGGACAGACTGCGAAGAATTTTCTCCTTTGAGAGAAGTTGGGAGTGATGTGGAAAGGCCCAGAGGGAGGGGCGTGCTCTGAATCTGGGGCAGCAGAAAGCATCTTCAATGTGCAGGCCCAGGCCTTGTGCTGGGGAGGGAGCTGGACTCTTGCTTCCAAGGAGTTATCTCATTCTGGGTGCTTAGACTAATTTGTGAGAGTGCCTCTCCCCAAGGGGCTGCAAGAGTATGGCCTTCAAGAGCAACAATTTAATTCCAGATCATGGCCCTAGTGCACAAAAAAACCAAATTTTATCCTCTCTTCTCCACTTGCCCATTTAAAGCCTAACGCGGTGGGGCTGGGATGGGGCTGGGATGGGGCAGGGGCTTGGAGTTGCTATGGAAACACGGCCTGGAACTCCACACATCAGCCCAAGGCTTGAATATAGACCCAGCCAATCCTCTACTCCTTCACCCTTGAGCCCTGCCTGCCTGCGGTCTTGGAGCCACACGGAGACCACAGAGCCTGGCCTGCCCTGCAGGAACCCAGGAGAGCACCTGGGCACGCTGGCTTTCCCCGAAACTCACATATACCGCCTATAGTCTCCTTCCAGAATCTTCTCCAAATCCTCTCCCAGTTCAACTCCCTCTGTCTCCATAGCAACCAACACCCCTTGATAAGAGGCCAGACCCATTATTGTCTTTGTTTTACTCCTGGCATCTTGGGCCACTGATAAGGAGGCCGGGGGGATCCTCAGATGCCAGAGAGCCATTCCCAACTGATTCTGCTGGAGTTCTGAATCCATACATGGCTGTCCTTCAGTAACCAGCATGAGTGCAGCCCTAATGTCCCCATGGTATAATAAAGGATTTCTGGCCTTTGTCCCTGCTTTCTGGGGGAGCCTCTAAATCCTTGGAGTTTCCTGGCTGATAGGACTATTTTTGTTGCACATGGTGGGCCCCTGGGGCCTTCCCTGGATTTATACTGAGGAGGTGACTCAGGATGGGGGCTGGTCCTGCTGGAAAGACCAAGCCTGTGATCACAGGACATCAGACCCCCGGGGGATGGTGGTGGAGGTTCAATTCAATCCATCCTGCCTCTGTGGAAAGCTCTGGGCCCCGAGGCACAGTTGAGCTTCCTAGCTGGTGATGCACAGCAACATGCTAGAAGGGAGATGCTCTGAGTTCGGGACCCTTCCAGACGTGGCCCTGGCCCCTCTGTTTGGCTGGTCCTGTCGTATCCTCTATAATAACACTGTTTTCATCAACATAGCACCTCCCTGAGTTCTGTGAGTCCTTGTGGCCAATGATTGCACCTGAGAGGGTTGGGGGACCCTCAGATGTATAACCAGACGGTCAGAAGTGCAGTTGTCCCAGGAACCCCCAAGCACTGGGGACTCTGCCCCACCCTGTGAAGTGTGCGCTGTGGGCAGTCCCTCCAAGCCAGGTCAGGGGAGGAGGGAAAGAAGGCATCTCCACACGTCTGCACTTCAGTTCAGTGGCTTTCTAAACCCACTGCCCCACCTAAGGGGCTTTTAAAAACAAGAGCTGCCCGGGCCCCTTCCAGAGCATGTCTGATTTGATGAGCCTGCAACGGGAGCCTGGAATGGACATGTTTACAAAGCTTTCACAGGTTGTTCCGAGGCAGAATCATATTTGAGAATCATTTTCTCAGGAAGCCAAGCACGTGTTCCAAGCAGAAAAAATCAGCTTGAAAGAAGAGAAAATGCAGGAGGCCATGTGCCAACGTTCAAACAGAAGGGAACAAAGGGGCGGTAGATAGAAAGTTAAGTGCTGGTGGGCAGATCATGTTAAGATCTGTCTCTGGGAAGGTGCAGCTTGAAAGCCACACACCACCTGAAATGGGCTATGATATGGTGGCCACTTGAGAGACTTCTTGCCTCTAATGTGTTCTCTCCTGACTCACGGGACCTGGAGTTTCTCTGTAGGGTCAAGACACCAGTGTCCTCTGCTGGGACGCATATTTTGGATCTCAGGGAACTGGGCTGGGGGCTGGAACCTCAGCCCCGAACCTTTTATCAGATGGGGCTGTGATCGTGTGGATGTGTCTGGTGGCACATGAGTAATTCACTGTGACAGCTTCTCAAATCGACCCTGTTCCCCTTCTCCCTGGCCGTGGCCTGGGGCCACTGTCACGTCTTGGTGGGGTGAGAGCCATGACTCCGCTCTCATGTCCCTGCTGCTTCTCTTGCCTCTCCGCAGCCGCCCACTCCTCCCAGAAACCAGGTTCATCCTTTCAAAAGTTAATCACGTCATGTCTTTCCCTTGCATAAAATCCTCCAATGGGTTCCCACTATACCATGAAAAATACGAGTCCTTGTGATGGGTCCCCACCTGTCCCTCCGTCTCACTTGGTCCACTCACAATACCCACTGGCAGCCACACCGGCTTGCTTTCTATTCCTCAAAGAGTTCCCAACTCTCTTCTAGCACAGGGCCTTTGCACAAGCTGGGCCCACCACCTGCAATGCCCTGCTCTTGGCCTCACACTTGCCATGGCTTCTTCCTTGAAATTCATGATCTCACCTATTGTTACTCTTTAAAAAGTCCTTCTTTCGGCAAAATACATTGGTAGGTTGCTTCTATTATCGTCCATGCCATCACTCTGTTCATGCCCTACACAGAACTGGTCATGCTTCTTAATATATATTTACTTGCTTATTTTTCCTGTTTCCTCTACTCTGCTGCTGAATGTCCCATGCAGTGCCTGGCACATAGTCGGTGCTCATTTTAGCTGGAGTGATTACTACTAGCTACAGCAGCATCTCACCCTAAAAACCTCAGGGGCTTATCTCAGAAAGGTTTACTTCTTGATCATATGACTCACCCAGTGTGGATGGGTGTGGACCTCTGCTCTCCACACTCCAGCCCCAAGGGGGCCCTGCCACTTTGTAGCCTCCCGATCTGAACAACGTAGCCCAAAAGATTTGCCAAAGAAGAGGAGTTGAGAGAAAAATGAGGCATGTGGCTTTGAACAGCCTGGAATTCACAGGTATGGCCTGTGTTCATGGTCCATTTGCCCCAACCAGTCACTGGCTTCACCTCACTGCAGGCGGTCTGGGAGACAGAGGCTGACAGGATGCTAACAGGGTGGGGGCGAGTGGTGGGGGTAGGGAGATCTGTTCGGCCCAGAGCCCAGAGTGGGAGGGGTCGCGCCCACAGACCCAAGCTCTGCGGTTTCTGCTGGATTTTCCTTGTGTGTGAACTTGTAGAAACTAATGTCCACACTGAATGCAGGCAAGGACTCAGGGCAAATCCTCTACTTCCTCTGTATTGGCACCAGCCCCGGGGACGGAGTGGCTGTGTCTGCTGCAAGCGGCATATGCGTGAAGAGGTGGACAAAGACACAGCCACCATTAGCAGGTACTGCTTGCCGAATGCTCCGTAAGTACCTTGGAAACAGGCCACCCTGGGAAATAAATGATCCACGGGGCCCCTGTAACCTCCAGCTCCCTTGGCGGCCGTTCCTGTTCCCTGAAGGCCCCCCTCCCTCCTGGGGGGCTCCCGGGAACCGGGTGGCAGAAACCAGCCTGGTGATTTACCTCCCACCTTCCTGGGACTCCCCACCAGGCCCGTGCATCTCATGTTTCATTATGAGGCTGTGGATGGTGGTGATATTAATTATGGGGCTGAGGCTGTGTCACCTGAAGAAAGTTGGTGCATGTGTAATTTGACTTTCCTCAAGAAGGAGAATTATATTTTTCCTGATCTCATTCTCTCGCAAGAATGCCAGGGAAGCAAGCAGAATCACACTTAAGGGTTTTAAACTGATGAGCTTCAGTTAAAAAAATTAAAATCCTTTCCATCTGGCGAAGATTGGGAGAATCCACCTCTAGAATTCGGGGTTTCTCGGTAGGGGCCAGCGGCTCTCCCGTGGGGAGGGCTGTGGGTGCACTGTGAGGCAGAGCTTGGCCTGTGGTGCAAAGCCAAGGGTGGGTCATGGCTGGGTTTTCTACAGACATAGAGCAAGAGCATTTCTTGGCAAAACTTATTCTTGGCTGAAAGCAAACGGGCACATTCCAAAGGGTGAGATGGGGAGAGTTTGACACTCGTTGGTTTTGTAAGTAAACACCAGATTAATGCAAGAACACCAATAACAGTAATGACCTAAATGAGAGCTTGTGTGACAGTCCTGGCCCTCATCCACATGCCGTGGGTGCATGCTTGCTGCCATCCGGCCTTCCCGGAAGTCCTGCAGGGGGTCCCCCGCTTTAACCCCATCACACAGAGGAGGCGGGCGACACAGATGCGCCTGGGCCTGTGCTCAGTCTGCAGGACACAGACAGCACGGCAGACTTCCTCATTCGAAGCGATTCCATTAAGAACGTTGTCGTGCCATTATGTCAGCAATGAAATCAGTGCTGCCGTCTTAGGCTCTTACTGTGTGCTAAGCATTTGTGTGTGCGTGCGTGCGCTGGTGTGCATGCGTGCACACAGGCATGGGCCCATGTGTGTGCACACGCATGTGGAAGGAAAATGACGTGGGTGAGCCTGGAGAATTCCAGATGCCGGAGGGGCCCGCATGTGTGGCTGCTGCTGGAAGTGGGAGTCAGGGCCGTGTTGGTGACGTCACCTCAGGAGAAATGGGTTCCAAATCCACATTTATTCCCAGTTCTCTGTGTGATCTTGGTCATGCCGCTTTATCTCCCTGAACTTTGTTCTTTAAACATCTTTTAAGCTTTAAGGCTGTCGGACCGTTATACACACGGAGAAAGGCGTGTGTGAAGGCCCTGTGTCATGAATACTCACAAGGTGAACAGATGTGACCCCCACTCGGATAAAGAGCGAGCCCAGCCTTCAGCCAGCTGGGCAGCCACTGGGCATCCCTCCCCAGGCACGCGCCTCCCAGAGCCCATCCCTCGCCAAGTCTTTTCTTACCCGCGGGGAGGAAATGTGTGCCATCATCATCAAGAAGGCAGTGGCAAGACGAAGGTGACCGTGTGTCCGGCCCGGTGCAAAGCCCTTGACGGGAACTGTTTTGTGGGCCTCCCGGGGGGGCACGATTACGGCCAGTGCTGGCGCTCCCCTCGCTTTGCAGACGAGGACGGCATGGCTCTGAAATGGGATCCAAACAGATTAGCCCAGTTGTGAGCGTGACCCTGTCTGTCCCGCGCTGTTCTCGGACTTCAGTTTTTCTTCCTGCTTCCTTTATTCATTCCAAGTACCTCCCTGTCGTGTTTGTTGGAGGGTGGCTGTGCTGGTGTCCGGCCACAGACTATAGATCAGGCCCCCGGACACCGTGTCGGGCTGTGATGATTTCCATTTTACCTCCCCAGGAATCAAGGGGCCCCAGGAAGAAGCCAGCTCACATGATAAATTATTCAACAGAAGGACAGAAAGCTCTGCTGCACCGAACCTAAGGATTTGGGGTAGACAATGGGAAATTATTAATAAAAAAATTCTACCACTTTCTTCTTCCCACAGTGGGAGAGACTCATGGAATCAACTCTGAGTGAAGGCATCAAGTTTAAGCTGTTAATTACTTCTTAATCATGCAGAATAAAAGCTACATCCCTTAAAATACACCAGACAGCTAAACCTAATCTTTGCTTTTCCTGGGTATCATCGAAGGAATCCAGATGTTATGGTAATAAAACCGCTCCATAAACAAACAGAATACCCAGCTGTAGGAACTGACTCCTCAGCATTCATGTGCCCCCAAAGGCTTTTCCTGGGCTGGGGTCCTGAGTGCTGCTCGGCGTCCCCGTCCCCTCCCGGCAGCCCCCACTGTGGACACAACCACATAACCGGAAGGGAGACCAGCACAGAACTTGCTGAATGTCTGTGGGACTAAACCCGGGACCCATCTGAAGCCTGTGTCTGTGGGCTTTCCAGCAAGTGAGGGGCAGCCCTGGGTCTTAAGGGGTCTGGGTGTGGAGAGGGTGCCCTTGAGCAGATTGAATACGTTTCACTCAGACATAGGTAGATGTTACAATTTATTTTGGGTCCGTCAATATTAATAACAGTGGAAATAGCTAGTGTTTATTGGGAATGTTAGTGCGTGCTCTTGCCCCGAGCCCCCCTGACACTATGAGGTAGCTCCTGTTCCTGACTGAGATTCACAGGTGAAGTCATTTCCCCAAAGTCCCTCAATAAGTATACGGTGAAGGTCGAATCTGAGTCCAGAAGAGCTGGTTCTACTATTATTTTACAAAGTGTTCTACTTTGGTTTGAGTTGGCCTTTGATCTTTCAAAACAACTTTCACTGAACTCATGGTTTTGTAAAACAAAGTTGGTTTTGAGATCGGCAAATGAGTGCATTTAAAAGTATTTGTGTGCACACACCCTGGTACACATTCTGCAATGTTTTCCCCAAGGTAAAAAGCCTGGAAGGGAACACACCACAAATGTAATAGTTTATTTATCTGCGTGGTACAATTAGGGATGGTTTTAGTTTTTTCTGCATGATGTTCTATATTTTGTATCAGTGAACGTATATCAACCTTGTACACAGAAAACATTTTCAGAAAACAAAATTAATGATTCCATTCATAAAACTTTGAGTGTCTTCTTTATAAACCAAAGAAATTGCATTGATTATAAAACTAAATATATGGTTACATATATTTTTCTCCAATTTTTTTCCTAAAAATGTTTTCTCAAGGTGGAGCTACCTTTCTCTCCGACTATAATTGTGTAAGACTGATGAATCACAGACCTGTACCCCTGAAACAAGTAATACGTTATATGTTAATAATAAAAAAAAAAGATGCAGGTCACTCCAAAGATGCTCCAAGAAAAAAGGGGCTCTGAAGTCATGTTGGTTGGGAAACACGTGGAGGGTCTGAGAAATTCTGCAGTAAATAAACCCTTTGGCTTGGTCCAGTGTCATGTCTCCCAAACCAACTTGTGCATGGAATGCCTTATCCCATAATAAGGTTTGCCTTCTCTCCAGAGAGCGTGCCCTGGGAAATGCTGCCATACAGGATTGCCCCCAGCCAACAGGTATTTACCAGGTCTGTGCTGTTTAGGCTCTGGAGGCCCAGGGATGAAGGAGGCAAACTCTTCTCCCCTGGTGCCCGCCTTCTGGTGGGCATGGCAGCATACAAGTGAACAAGAAAATGAAGACACACACAGGTACTTTCAGATGCTGACCATGGCCACCATGAAAAGAAGAGGTCCACAAGGCACCTGTTTGTGCAGAAGGCCTCTCAAGGACGAGACCCAAAGAGCCAAGGGAAACATGCTGGTTTCGGGGAAGAGCTGTAGTGAAAACCTTTTGGCCTCTATAAATAAAGATGAAGATGTGGGTATGTAATTTTATATACTGATATCACATTGTATGTTGACACTTGCCTTTTCCACTCAATTAAAATGTCAGAGATGACATTTCTAGTCAATGAATGTATTTCACTATTGTCATGTTTAACAACTGTTGAGCATTTTCTTAACCAATCACCCGCTGGTGGAAACTTCGTGTTTTGGTCTGTTCAGGCTGCTGTGACAGAAATAGCCTAGACTGGGTGGCTTGTGTTTGTCACAGCTCTGGAGATGGAGGAGTTTAAGGTCAGGTGCCGGCAGATCCAGGGTCCAGTGAGAGCTCTCCTCCTGGTTCATAGACACCTGTCTTCCTGCTGTGTCCTCACATGGCAGAAAGGTCAAGGGAGCTCTGGGCTCTCTTTTATAAGGGCACCCATCCCATCCATGAGGGCTCTGCCCTTGTTACATAATCTCCTCCAAAGGCCCTACCTCCCGACACCATCACACTGAGGAAATGGGTTTCAACATCTGAATTTGGCGGGGGGACACAAATACTCCGTTTACAGCACTTAGGAAGGTTTCTTGTGGGTGCATTTTTCTCACTTTTGAAATAGTCTCCTGATGATAAATTCCTGGAAATCAGATTGTTGGGTCCGAAGTTGTGAGCATTTTACAACGTCATCCAATCCTGCTAAACTGCCTCAGCGGCCAGGCATGACCTTCCGTTCTCTCTAAGACTGCACGAGAGTGCCTGTTTTCCCAAGGGCCTCCTATGACTGGTTTTTATCTACACTGCAGATGCCAATCTGAGAGGGGGAAAATGAGATTTTTATTTATGTGATTGATAATGACCTTGAACATGCCTATTAGCCTTTTGTATTTCTTCTTTTATGAAATGCTGTTCAAATCCTTTGCCAGTTTTTCTACTGATATATTGATTTGTTTTCTTACTGATTTTCAAGAGCTCTTTTGTATATGGGGGATATTTGTGATAAAAATTATTGCTGTCTTTTGGTTTGGTTTATGATATTTTAAGCCATTTAGATGTTGTAAATGTTTATGTTGTTAAATTAAATTGTTTTAGTTTGTGTTTTCTGATCTCATAACATGTTTAGAATGGCCAACCCTACCTTATGATTATGTAAATATTCTCTCATATTTACTTCTAGCTTTTTTTGGTCTCTGTTTTTCTTTTCCTTTAAACCTTTCATCTTTTAGGAATTCACTTTGCAGTAAGGAATGAATTTGGGGTCCAGTTTTATATTTCCCAAATGGCTATTCAGCTATTCCATCTTCTCCCATGTTAGAAATGACCACTGTCCCATGCATTAAAATCTCTACATACTGGGCGCCTGGGTGGCTCAGTTGGTTAAGCGACTGCCTTCGGCTCAGGTCATGATCCTGGAGTCCTGGGATCGAGTCCCACATCAGGCTCCCTGCTCAGCAGGAAGTCTGCTTCTCCCTCTGACCCTCTTCCTTCTCGTGCTCTCTATCTCTCATTCTCTCTCTCTCAAATAAATAAATAAAATCTTTAAAAAAAAAATCTCTACATACTTGAATCACAGATCTGTACTTCTGAAACAACGCAACGTATTTTAAGAAAAAAGAAAAAGAAGAAGATAGCAGGAGAGGAAGAATGAAGGGGAGTAAGTCAGAGGGGGAGACGAACCAGGAGAGATGATGGACTCTGAAAAACAAACTGAGGGTTCTAGAGGGGAGGGGCTGGGGAGATGGGTTAGCCTGGTGATGGGTATTGAGGAGGGCACATTCTGCATGGAGCACTGGGTGTTATGAACAAACAATGAATCATGGAACAGTACACCAAAACAAATTATGTAATATATGGTGATTAACATAACAATAAAAAAATTAAAAAAAAATCTCTACATACTTGGGACTATAACTATGATCTTGGTTTCTGTTCTTTTGAGCTGTCTTTTGATCCCTTTGCCAAACCACACTGCTTTACTCACTGTGGTCACAGAATACATTTTTAATATCTGGCAAGACACGTTCCTCAATACCACTCTTTTAAAGAATTTTCCTGGCTGTTCTAAGATAAACATAATTTACCTTACAAAACATCTTATAAAACACTCCCAGATAAATTTTAGAATTACTTCTTTTTTCCAAGCTAAAATATATCCCACATTGGGATCATATTGAATTTAAAGACTACCTTAGGAAAAATTACATCCTTATTGCATGTCTTCTTATTCAATAAACAAGATATGACTCTCCATTTATTGAATTATTTTAAATGATCTTCATTAGAAACTTAGTTTTGCTTCGTATCTGTCTGCCACAGTTATTGTTAAATTTATTTCTAGGTGTTATAGGGTTTAGGTTCTATTCCAAATGATTTTCTAAATCATGTATTTCCTAACTTGTTATAATTTACATATGAAATTGTAAATTATACTGATTGCTGTATAATTGATCATACTACTGTGTTTTTATTATTTTAATATTTTTTCTATTATTTTGGGTTTTCCCAGAAGCATACCCTCATTAGTTACAAATTATGGTTGGCTTTACCTCTGATGAATATAGGGGAAGGGAGGGGAAAATAAAATAAGATGAAAACAGAGAGGGTGGCAAACCATAAGAGACTCTTAGCTCTAGGAAACAGGGTTGCTGGAGGGAAGGTAGGTGGGAGATGGGGTAACCGGGTGATGGACATTAAGGAGGGCACGTAATGTGATGAGCAGTGGGTGTTATATGCAACTGAAGAATCACTAAATTCTACTTCTGAAACTAATAATACACTATATGTTAATTAAATTGAATTTAAATAAAATTAAAAAAAAATCATGGTTGGTTTTGCCCCTTCTCGTGATCATGACTGCTTTTATATTTTTGTCTAATTCTGCTCAGTACTTTCAGAACAGTGTTACACAATTGTAGTGATAAAGGGGACTCAGAACTTTTTTTTTGGACACAAATGGAATGCTTCTAGTATTTTCTCAATGATGGTAATTTTTGGATTGAAATGTGTGTTTTTAAAAATCTCCAGAAGAAGGTATCCGCCATTTCAATTTCAAGTATCAGAAGTGGATTTTATGAAATGTCTTTATGGTATTTAAGAAAATAAATGATTGTATGCTTCTTTTTCCTTTGTTCTATTAACATGGTAAAAGTGTTTTTAGAAGTTTCTTAAACTGAATAGTTCCTGGACTGTGTGCATCAGTTACTTATTGTCACAATGTATTATTTACTTCTATTTGCTAAGACTTTATTCAAGCTTTCTGCCTGAACCTCCTCTAAAGTACCTTTCCTATGATATTCTATATCAGGCCCTGGCATCCAGCTAATGCTGGCCTCATCAGAACTGTCAGGTGAC